TGAGATTTTTTTTATGATTTTCACAAATTTTCGATTTGTTACATTACATGGTTTCCTTCGAGATATCACTGGAACTAAAATCCTAAGTACAGTTATGTACGTAGGCAAGACAATAAGTAAGTTACAAATGGATATAGAACTTAGACAAATAAGAGTACTGATTTGAAAAAATGTTTTTATTTCTCAACATAATCTCCCTGTACATTGAGGCACTTGTCCCATCATATCACAAGCCCCTGAAAACCAGCAGCATAAAATTCTTTGGGCTGCTGTCAGAACCAGGCAGTGACTTTCCTTTCTACAGCTTCGTCGTCGGGAGAATGTTCAGCCGAAAGATGATGTTTAAGAGGGCCGAACAAATGAAAGTCGCTTGGGGCAAGGTCCGGATTATACGGAGGATGCTCGAGGACTTCCCACTTGAAATTTCGCAGTGTCTCATTTGTCTAGTTGGAAGTATGGGGACGCGTTAGACCACGGTGTTTTTTGTCAATATAAATTGAAAAGTGAATAAATAAATACGATTTTTCTGCAGCTATAAACCAAGTCGTAGAATATAAGGAGGACCGCAGAAAGCGGTACCAAAGATGTTCTGGTGGTGTAGAAGTAAGGAGACATAAATAATGCTCTGTGGACGGTACATTTCATCTTAGAGCTTAATCGCTCTCTTTTCAATGAAGGACATGCTCTAGTAAATGTTGTGAAGGCTCTGGATTCGATCATTTCTGTATCTAATCCTCCTACCGAAAAATATACAGATGTACGTGACTCACGAAGGGGGTTCTTCGTCCGTTCAGTATGAGATGACACCCAACCGATCTCTCTCTCTTTACATAAAATTTAATTTCTTTTGTTCCAGAGCTCACACTGCGTCTCAGTCACATCCAGACCTCGCTGCAGCGTTCTGAGAACATGGCCTTCTTTCTCTCAGTCGCATGTACGTGTACATAGGTGCCAGCAGCAAACACCTAGATATACACTAGTATTTCTGAAGGGTGGGGAGGTTCACTTATACATACGCTGTACAATGCGTGGCACTCCTTTTCTCTTGGTGTAAACGTTTCGCCTTCGTCCGAAACTCTGATTATTCTCTCTGCAAGAATGTGCTAGCAGGCCTCATTATACTAACGGAAATTTTAATTTGAACTTATAAACACTGTTGTATGATCCCTGGCCGCAGAAAATTCTCCACTGCGTCTTATAGCCGCCCAACTGTACATTTACGGCCATGAAATTCATTATTGCCTATAGGTACCGAATGCTACATTGATGGCATACGTCAGGACCAAGTTCATTGTGCCGACTCCCTCAAACAGCTGCTCAGTGCCCAAAGTAATTACCATTTCATGAAACACGCGACCTCACTGCGTTGCTGTCACAGAACTCATTGCCCCTTATTCTCAACTACATTATTCTTGTGCTAGCTTCCCAAACCTCGTCATGTGGGATTTGTGGTGGACACCGTGGAACTTGGACAGATTTTATCCAAGTACTTCCATTTCCCCTGCCAATCACTGTTCCACCAACTGCTCTACAATCACCATCATCTAGGATTGGTACAATAAGCTACCACTAGCCAAAGTACCAAGTGGTCTCTCACCCCAATAAAAATAATAATAAAATAATCCTTGGCTCCATTTCTCCCAACATCCATCTAAATATTCTATTTGTATCCCCAACAGATCCTTCAATTTATCCTACCAAAATACCCTTTGTATTCCTCTCCTGTGACTGACATGCCCTTGGTTCCTTACTGTTGTTATCTTAAAGTAATTGCATTTCAATCGAGAATTGTGTGGGAAATTGTTTTCTGACAGACATAGGTCTTGTTTATGTATAGGTAAGAATGAAGAGGCATTACTTTATAATTGACTTGCCAAGTTCAGGTTATCCACCTCAGTGTGAAACTCTGAGAAGCAGAATCAGTATCAGGATTGAATGTGGGTAGGACTATTTATGTAATTTCTTTACCTATTTCATTTCATTACATTGTTATTCACTTCTGTTGTAATAGGTGTATTCCTTCTCTTGCTTTTGCCATATAATGCTACCTGTGCTGAACTGGTGAACATGAACATAAGATTTTCAATAGTAATTGCATTTCTTTAACATATATTATTAATTTCTGCTATACAATCGTATCCAATACTGAACTGGATGATGGATACCAGATTTTCAGTATTCATTACATTTCTTTAAGATATGTTATTATTTCCGCCATATTGTTCTGCCCAGTATTGAACTGGTGAAGATGAATATATCAGATTTTCTTATATCATTAAATGCACTCTTAATCTTGTTGACAAGAGTGTATTTCACATCTCGAATTCTATCATTCTAATGAAAATAATAATAAATGGGAACACGAGCATTGTTGCTTACAATACATGATTTATAATATACGTACTTAAATGTAACCGAAAAACTGTGTTCTGTATGGTCTTCAAGTGTAAGTTATGTATCTCTGATGGAAACTGAATTTTCTCTCAAGTTTCCCCAGCTTCAGCTCTCCTAAATACAAGTACTCCATATGTTACAGCTCATAATGTTCAGTGCCTTTAATTAAATAGAAGTTTCATGTGAAAAAAGGTTATGACTTTCCAGGCACTGGTGAGAAACTTCCTCCAGATAAATAATTTGCAGCCTAATCTCTTGTACTCCAGAGCTGCAGGGGCTTTTAATCCGTTGTTTTTTTTTTCAAGGGTGGGGGACCAGGTTTAATAGCATGTCACTCAAATCCAACCCAAAGGATATGGGTGAAGTGATATTGAACTTACTTATGGAGCTGAGCCCTTCTTGAGAAGCTGTCAATTGTGCAGCCACTCAAGAATTTCCCATTCTCTTATGGACCCCCGCACTTGTCCCTATCCTGAGCCAGATCAATCCAATCCATACCATCCTATCTCTCTGCGATACATTTTAATATTTTCCACCCACCTACATCTTGGTCTTCCCAGCAGTCTCTTTCCTACTGGCTTTCTGACCAATATCCTACATGCATTTCTCGCCTCCCCTATTCGTGCTACATGACCTGCCAACCTCATCCTCCTTGACTAGTGATATCGAACACAGTTCAAAAATAGAAATAGGTTGGGGAGGGGGAACCTCTGCAGTACAAGAGATCTGGTTGTAAAAGTATTTAATTGCTAGTCTAGCGAAAAAGCATTGGGCGGGGGAGCACTCAAAATAGTTGCTATGTTAGCATACCTTCTTACCGATTGTGCTCTCGGCCCTTTCGGCCATTTTGAATTTAGTTAATGTAGGTTGCGTAGAGATGTCCACCAATAACGTGTGAGTTTCACAGGGCTGTTTACGTATTTCGCTGGTGTGCCATTGCGTTCACTGTATCGATTTTTGGCGTGATTGCTCTCATATCTTTTTAGGTATAGAGTGTGCTGCTACCTATCGTAAAGCTCATGCACTTCGATGTGGGTATCAATCATATGTAAATTATTTCTACTAATTTTGTAAAAAAAGTAAAGATATCCCTGTAATAGGACGTGGAGGCCCATAGGGTTGTGAGATGTTGAGGTTCCCACTTTTTCTAGACCATCGGCTTACAGATGGCGGCAAGGTTGTCAGCCCTACTCGCCGGACGCCCTTTACCCCCAAGAATAATCCTGGTACTCATTTCTGTTAGAGGCTGAGTCGACCCCAGGGCCATAGAGTGGCTGGAAGTGTTAGGTCAATTGAAAAAATCCAATAACCCCATCGGGACTTGAACCTGCGACCTTCCGGCTTGTAGCATAGTGCCCCCTACTAATTTTGTACTATTAATTTTTGTGTTATACGTTACAGAGAGACAGCCACACTACATAAAAGATATGAAGAATAAAACATCATTAGGATTCTTCATAGAAGTGTTCCCTGAAAATGGCCTTATATGGCCGAAATATGTAGCCTTATATTAATGCATAAAGTAAAGTAAAGTTATCCCTGTAACAGGCCGTGAAGGTCCATAAGTTTGTGAGACGTTGATGTTCCCACATTACCTAGACAATCGGCTCAAAGATGGCGGTAAGGTTGTCAGCCCTACGCGCCGACCGCACTTTACTCCCCAGGAAAATTATTTAATTAATTCCTGGTACTCATTTCTGTTAGAGGCTGAGTCGACTCCAGGGCCATAGTGCGGCTGGAAGGATGAGGTCAATTGAAAAAAAAAAAAATCAGTGAATTCATCGGGACTTGAACCCGCAACCTTCCGGCTTGTAGCATAGCGCCTGAACCAACTACGTTACCGGGTACCCCATTATAATAATACATATATATTTTAATATTTTAAGAGCTGTAATAACATCTAATGCTCATAACTATCACTGTGTGGATTAAAGTGTGAATCAATGTTATTGACTGTTGCTTATAGTTGGAATATGTAACAGACTATATGCGAAAAGTTACAGTAGCTGTAGGCAGCATTGGGTGAGATGCAAGGGGCAAGAATCTGTCAGGAGCTCCAAGGAAAATGATTACACAAGAAGCGATATGTAAACAGGAGCAAGGAAATTTCGGGCAAGAGCACTGTGCCTGGTACTAAGGGTGAACTTCTATTGTATAGTATTATTGTACGACCGTCAAATAGAATCACAGAAGGGGATCAACAGCTATCTAATAGCTAGAAGACATGGCACCCCTATACAGGACATGACATAACATACACAGTAACTTTACCAACTTTACCACCTCTACTCAAGAGAAAAATAGGACATAACATCACTCACATATGGAAAACCGCCATGTAATATGTGCACGAATAGTTAGAAAACAATGCAGGCTCATAGAAAAACCCCTCTACTCTATGATAGAACATCATAGACTTGAACTTCAAGCTAAAACTAAAACAAAAAAAAAATAATACTTTTAACTGAGTTATAACATTTTACATGTTATGACTAATATTGAAAAAAATATAATGAAACGCAGAAATTATAACGGTATTGATGATATTATTAATGATCATTAATATGGATCCAATTTAGAAATACATTTCAGTAACAAGTAGTACACCTCATGAAAACTGCCTGTTAATGCTCCACCTGGATCGAAACATGTAACAATATACATAATAAATTAATTTTAATGCAGTAATATTGCTTTATTTCTTACGAACTTGTTGTGTTGACGGTTGTATATAATACTATATAGTAACACACAACAGGATGCAAACAATAATTACAGAACTTCTACTGACTATAACACAGCACATCCCAGAGGATTGTGTCCATACATATTACTTTTCTCACAAAATTTGTGTGTGTACACATGGCATTTCATAACATAGATCCTATAAACACATGAATAATTTTGTTTCTGTGTCCACTATAAAGAGAGAAACAGAGAAAGCCACAGAAATTGTAGCTGGGGTTTATGTTGATCTGTCAGCCACTGTAATTCAGTGTAATTATCCGTCAAAATCATCTTTCTGTTATTGTTGGGTATTGATGAAATATGCTAAAGTATTTCTTGTAAACTGTATCATCATCTTTATCGCCATTAAACTGTTTAACTTTGATACTAGCTTCAGGTTTTTCAGACGAGTTCTGACTGTCGTTGCTGTTTGTCCTACCATAGCTCTGCCAGATGTCATATTTACCATTATGAGTCATGTAAGGATACCTCAGTAACGGGATATAGCGAGCCATTTCAGAATCTTCTGTACCATCCTGGTCATCATCAGAGACATATGCATACGTGTAGGGTACAAAAATATGAAACTTTTGTTTTGTATCTTTCATCTGAGGTGAATTGTCAAAGAAGTCCAATCTAGGCTGCAGAATTGGAGCTTCCTTCATTTGGCTGTTGTAAGAGGATTCAGCGATAACGGGTGTTGAAACTGTTTTCCTGTTATTGAGACTCAGTTTCTCAGAACTGCTGGATGCATATTGACTACTTGGCTTCGTATTTACATTTCCCACAATAGGTCTTGCTGTTGTGAAGTGTTTCGGTCTTCTCAGAGTCTGACGACTGGGATTCTCTCTGTTTGAATCTTCTGAACTCTCTGAAAGAAACTGTGTATTGAGTCTGTAGAGCACATTGCTCGAAGCAGAAGTGTCCTGGTCGCTTTCTGGTGGATCCGTGGAAGGCGACTTGTAATAACCCAGTTTACTTATTGCTGCCATGGGGAATGAGAATGTTAGCCTAGCATAGCGTTCAGCTTGTGCCAATATGGCTGCTAAACGATGAGGAAAGAATTGAATTGTTATTGGTAATGAATGAGACTTTTTTGAATTCGTTGTTGTGGGTGTAATTGTCAGTCTTCCACCTTCTCCATTTGTTTCATTTGATGAAGCAAACGTATCATATGATTTGTCTTCCGAAACTGGGGCTGCAGTAATAAGACTTGCACTGCTAGGAGCTGTGGTTTCAGAAACCCAATGTTGCCATGTTTGACCATTACCTATTGGTGGCGGATTGAGGTCCAATGCAGGCATCCATTTCATGTCACGTTCATGATAATTTCCCGAAACTGTACTTGAAATTTCTCGAGCTTTAACCAGTTTTGAACGTGTTGCTGTGGTTGTTTTTGGATTTAATACTGGTTCAGTTATTTCTGGTTTACTGTGAAGATGTGAGTCAGAAGTTGAGTTTATTTTTGCTAACACATCTTTCGTTGACGTTGTTGGAGTCCCCTCCCTGGGCCAGACAGGTGGACTGGATGTTGAAGAATGAATTAAAATTGATTCTTTAGTTTTGGGGTTGTCTGAAACTATTTCAGACCAATTTAGGCTGCTGGATATATTACGTTTCAATGCAGTAATGTTTTTATTAACTTCACTTACTGAATGGTTTGCTGAAGTTCTGTCGTGGATACCAACTCTTGTAATTGGTGTGCCAAATGACCTAGAATTTTCCCTCTTGTTGTGTGTACCATCCAAACTGTTAGCGTTGCTGTTGTCAAGGTAATCTATTGGTTGCCAAGATAGACTTTCCAGTGCCTGGGGCGTCACTAGACTTGCAGCATCCACAAGAGAATCTAACTTACTGTCCACGTTTTGAGCACTTTTGCTCGCAGTGTCCTCTTTAATTAGCTCATCTCCAATCTTAACAACAAGTGTTGGGGCGTACTTTGTAAAGTTCTCTGTGCTATTTGATGGCGTGAGCGTTGAAGACTGTTTAATTGGATTTTTATGTTCAGTTTCAGTTCCAGCTGGCTGGAAGGACACCTGAAAGAAAATAAAATATTTTACATTTTACTTACAGTAACAACAATATTGATGTGGTTAAACACATTAAAGTAGAGATGCCTTACATAGTAACTGTAATGAGAACCATAAGGAGTGTACTCTGAAAAGAAAAAGAACTGTGCTAATCAAAAATAATTTGAATTGGTCAGTGGTTAAGTAAGCGTTTAATATTTCTATCATAATATTATCACGCGTAAGAGGATATGCGTCACAAAAGTAACGGGTTCTAGTCCGGATAATTGGATTTATTGGCACTTCCGTGACAAGTTCTCTTAATCACACGTAAATACAGCACTATCGCTGATTTGCACAATTTCAAGTTCACCTTTGCGCACGTACTAGGATTCCCAGTCTTCACTAGTCGTCTCCTGGCAATGGAACTCAACATAGAAACTACCATTTTAAATCACTGCGAAGTCTTCTTGTCTTCAGTCACTTTGTACTCCTCTGTCTTAACCTGTATTCAACTACGTAATCACTAAGGACATGTTCCATCATCGTCCTTGTACTCTCAACCCCTGAACCCTCTTTGACTCTCTTTCCGTGATGTCTTTCTATCCTTGACTCGCGGCTCCGCAACTATGAATGACTGCAAACTCAAAGTCACATTGCGACTGACGGTCAGTCAGTCAGTAAATCTCTGGGGCTCATGACCAGATATTTATTACTGTTTGACAGTTACGGTCTCTGACGAGAGGGCAGGTCTGTCTTTTGTATATGTTGTTGGCCCTTTCCAGCAGAGTCTTTCTCGGGTCCGAGTCCCTTGGGACTCGCGACCATATTTTACTTTCTCAGATTTGAGACTTCCATTTTCGTCGCCTCCTACGACTTGCAGGTCACGGTGGAGGTATTCGACCCAGCCTCCACACGGGGGCAATGACGCTACTGAAGGAAAGCTCGGGACATAGTGTATCTGTACTTCATTCTACATATTACATTAATGAGACCATTTTATATGCTCAGGAAATGACATGGATAATATCAGTGAAGTTTTTAACTGTCTTTATAGATAAATTAAAATAACTGTGACCCTCCGAAACATTTAACATTTTTCATTCTTTGAGAGGAATACAGTGAACCACTGGAAAAAATGCCAAGCCTGGGGCTGGCTGAGATATCAACTGGCACCTGTGATATCGGGCACTGCCTGTACTGACGTCTGCAGCTCTTAGATAAATCAATAGTTCAGCAAGCGATAATTCTTTTCAGTATGATATACGTCTGCTAACACTTTATGTATCTGTCCCACACTGTGCGGGCTGACATAACACAAACACCACAGTCAGATAACACAGAAACATTCTCCCATTAGCATTCCTAATATCTAATGGCCATCGTAACCACATCTTCACGTGATCCAATAACGGATAATAGCGATTTGTTCTGACTTCTAACTCCGGTTGCAAGAAAGGAAAACCTGTCCTCTTGACGAAGAATACGATGTTCTGGATTCTAACACCGTGTAGTTCAGTAAAGTCCACCGATGTTTCAGAGGCGCGTGTCTTACTCTTCGGTTTCCAGGATTCAGGCGATATACTCCTCCGAAATATTCGTGCACTTCCACCGAACTGCACGGCGGCGCAACCCTAAAGATGGCATTCTTCAGCGTCACTGTTGCCAGATACCTGATGCTGCTCATACATTTTCTACGTAAAGTAAGGGTACCTACTGTAGAAAGAGCAGAGGTGGTCCAGTTGACTTTGTCGCCGACAGCAAGATCCTTGGGCGGGTTGCATTCGCCGGGGTAGAGGGGCAGGTTCACTGGAATGCCAGATTCCAGGGCTAAACCTTTCTTACAGACAGACATACTGGAATATGAAACACATTATTTTTTTTGTAAGATTTGAAGTTTTCACTGCGGTGACTATGAAAAATGTCGTCTTCTGGGATGTGGCGCCGTGTGGATCTTGTGTGAACCGACGTTTCGGAGGAACATGTCGCCTCTATCTTCAGGACAGAAAATCCGCAAATTACAACCACCTGATCACGTTGGTTCCTCGCACGCGGATTTTTTCTACCCTGAAGATGGAGACGATACGTTCCTCCGAAACGTCGGTTCACACAAGATCTACAGGGCGCCACATCCCAGAAGACGACATTCTTCACATTATTTTTTCTCACAAATATTATAATTCTGGACATTATCCGTCGTCCTGTCTTTATCTAAAAACACCTTCCTGTTTATATTTTAAAGCACGATGTTTCGGAGACTGCAATCTGTCTCCAACTGCAGGTGAAACCTACTCAGTTGGGTCCAATCGATAGAACTAGTCCCTATTTCCAGGCACCTGTTCCAGCACCGGGAGAGGGTATACAAAACTCGAAGATGGTTTCTGCTGTGCTTGGCTTGCATATCCCCCCATCCTGTGCCGGAACTGGTGGTCGGAGGTAGGGACTCGCTCTATCGATTGGGCCCCACTGAGCAGGTTCCACCTGAAGACAGAGACAGAATTCAGTCTTCCAAATGTTATGTTTTGAAATATAAACAAGGTGGTATTGTCAGATAAAAACAGGACGATGGATAATGTCCAGAAACATAATATTTGTAGTAATGCACCATCTTCACAAACTTTTAGATCACATTTAATTTATTCGTTACATGACTTTAATTGAATACACAGTCTGAAGACTATGGTGTAATAAGCTGTAACGCCATGGAAATTGGTAGACGGGTAACAACCCCTTCAGTGGAGAGGAATGCATTAGAAGTCGAAGTCACGTTACGACCGGCAGTCAGTCTGTCTGTCCGTCCGTCTTGGTGTCAAATGACCAGATCAACAGCTACAGATCTGTCGATGTAGGGCACCCTCTCTGACGTGAGGGCAGGTCTGTCATTTGTCAGATCCACAGCCAGCAGTAAACGCTATTTATAGTCATTACAGTTTGTCAGTTCTCAATATGTGCATAGTATTTAGTTTTACATGTAAGTAAATTATAGTAAATTATGGTAAATTATACTGGGGAAAGATGCCAAGAACTGGGGCTGCAAAAGATCCAATTGGAAACTGAGGCCTTAAAACGGACTTATTTTTTTCCTTCACGGTTAGTTCCTCTTCCCTGAAGATGGAGGCAAAGCTTCTTCCTAAACAGGGCTACATATTGTAAAAATTATAAAGATAAACAGAAAAGTAAAGCTATTCCCTTAACAATCCGTGAAGTTCCATGGGGTTGTGAGACGTCGGGGCTCCCACACTTTCTGTAGATAATCAGCTCAGAGATGGCGGTGAGGTCAGACTTATATGCCGACAGCCCTTTAACCCAAAGAATATTCCTCGTATTCATTTATGTTAGAAGCTGAGTCGGCCCCAGGGCCATTCTGCGGCTGCAAGGATTAGGTCAATTGAAAAAAAATACGCCACATTGGGACTCGAACATGCGAACTTCCGGGTTTTAGCATAGTGTTTCAACCACCTACGCTACCGCGTGCCCCAAGTTCAAAAATTATTTTGTATAATTTTCAAATACGATCTCTCACTGTGATTGAAGAAAATATATTTCAAATATTACGTTCTGTAAAAAAATATTTGAAAGTAAGGAACACAAATGTTAGGTTATTGCGCAACAACACACTTCGTGATTTATACAGGTCACTGACTACTGAAATCATGGGGGTCATGGAGGGCAGTAAATGTGTACAGAGGTGCAAATGGACGATAAAAAGGCCACTTGCATGACCTTGAACTACATATGAGGATGATACTGAGAAAACGATGTATGATTCACGGGCGGGTGTGACCTGTCTGAAGACTGCTTGGCGTGCCTTGTACGAAGCGACATTTACCTCTTGCCGAAGCTGTCGGTGAGGGTGACTTTGTCGACGTTCCATGAGGCGAGACCGCTGGATATCCACCCGCTGTAAGCAGAGTACATGATCTGCACACCCTTCGGCTCCTGCAGAACCGGATGTGGCACGGCGATGCGCGCCAGAGAACCCCCCACTTTGAGTTCCTCATCATCTTTCCTGCGAACACATTGCACTAAACGAAACAGGACACAAAGGCGTGACCCTAATAAGGCTGGGAAGCCTTAAAAATCCCTGTAACAGGCCGTGGAGGCCCATAGGATTTGCTTAGTGGGGGGTGGAGTCCAACTGGGTCCACTCTGCACGGCGGCCACTGATTGGCCTATTGTACATGCCCCGGGTGATTATGATGATGGAGAATTTGGTGGAATGAAGATTGGCAGGGGAAACCGAAGTACTCGGAGAAAACCTGCCCCAGCGTCACTTTGCCCACCACAAATCCCACTTGACCAGACCCGGGATCGAGCCCGGGCCGCCGCGGTGGGAAGCCAGCGACTAACTGCCTGAGCTATGGCGCGGCCTTCGACGTTCCTCTTGATTCCCGAACTATTCCCATGTCTCAGTTACCAGCTTCTAACAGTAACGGTTCACAACGGCTGAACTACAGTTCCCTGACTTACTAACTAACCGATTCTTCATTTTCCTGTACTAACTCTAATTGTCATACTTATAACATCTCGACACGGACCGCGTAGAGAACACCGTTCTTCTGTTGCTGTCCAAGTGTTGGTTGTTATGAATTTGTTGCCTAACAGCGGACGTTGTTTACACAGTCACTGCTTAGCAACGGGTCTACATGCTACAATATACTGTTATACTGTTTCGCCCATTTCAACCAAATTTGGTTTGATGGTAGAGGATCATTCTGAGAAGGTTTTGGACGCTGGAAATCCCACCATTATAGATGAGTTATATCTTCTGGTATATGACGTCTTGCAGTCCGCTGAAATTCAATAGACGTTTCGGAGGAACACGTCGCAAGAAATACCATGAAGCAAGCAGCAAGCTGTGTAAGATTTGCTTTACCGTTTCTCACGGTGTTGTCGCTTGCAGATTTCTTATACTTTTTCTTCTACCCTGAAGATGGGGGCGATACGTTCCTCCGAAACGTCGGTTAACACCACATATACACGGTGCCAAATCCCAAGCAGCAAGCTGTTTTCTTGCCTGGCTAATTCTTCAACCCTTAATATAGAGGCGACATGTTCCTCCGAAACATCGATTTACTTCAAACGAACTACATTGCGTTATTTCCAAGAAGACAGGGCTCTTAGTAATCACCGCTGTGAGAAACTCACATCCTCCAAAATTTTAAATTAAGTAATTACACCACTTTTTTGCTTATTGCTCGGAAAACATTCGTCATAGCATATTGAGTTTTATTTTGCTTCCTATGGGGTTTAGAAATACAACTCGGAACTAAGGAAACAGTTCTTACGTCATACGTCTGTTATAATATTTTAAATGCATTTTCTGTTTTCCGAAAACAAATGTTAATTTTCATTCTACATGTTCAATCAGAAATTAAACAATACACTTTTTTTTAATAATTAAACGTACGAATCAAGCCAGTGAATCGCCACGTAAATCAGCTGGTTAGCGATAAATTACAGACATGTGCTGCCATCTGATATGCTGGTTAGTAACTACAATGATAACTTACTGCGTAAGAGTGAAGGTCTCGTTGATATCGGAGTTCCCAATTAGCGTTAACTGAATCTTGCCGTAGCTCGTGACTGGAACAGGGTTGGGAGAACTCTCTACCCTCACGTGATACTGATGCGCTGCAATCAGATTCAATTCAATTGATTTATTATTGCGCCTGACAACAGCAAGAAAGTTGATTACATAAAAACGCTTAAACAAACAACAAGAACACTGGATATTTCAGAGAATAACGAAATAGATAAAATAGGAAATAAGAATAGTATTATATTACTGTCTTAAGTAAACGTAAATTTGTCTCTGCGCTTAACTAATTAAGCACTATGCTATGAAGACATATGGGGGACTGGAGGTGTAGCTCCACCTTTCTTGACCTCAGACTAAATGGAGGTGAGTGGTTAGCTTCACGCCTTGGCCATCTTAGCCCCGGGGAAAGAATCGCCAGTCCCCGTTAGTTAGAATGCTGGGTGGTCCTCACAGGCAGTCTGGACGATGTGGAGAGAAAAATTTTGCCCCTGCCGCTAATCGAACACCGGCTGTCCAGCCCGCAACCCGTCGCTATGCAAACTCCCACTGTCTTTCAGTGTACCATTATAAAATATGATTAAGAAAAACAGTTTTTGTTCCAAATGCGTTGAAATTTTACGATAATAATTATACTAATAATGATCTATGGTTGAGGGCCAGTAGCGTGATCTTATGAACATGGTAATGAACCTTAGGGTCAGGCCACTTTCGTCTGCTTTCACCTGTAGTTAGAGAAAGTCCTCCGAAGAAATTAGACTTGCTCTTGCAATTAAGACACTTAGTATGGACGTTGCAATTTGCATTCATCAGGATGACAACAGCAACGCAGATTAGACGGGCACGACTACAACATACATTAGGGAACTAATAATTGCATGCAGAATTTTCGCGAGAATATTCTGACAAGAGAGACCACTAGACATAGCTAGGCGTAAGTGCGGAGATAATGTTAAAATTAGTTCGTTTTTTTTAATTCGCTTAGCGGGGGGTGGAGTCCAACTGGGTCCACTCGGCACGGCGGCCACTGATTGGCCTATTGTAGCCTGCCCCGGGTGATTATGATGATGGAGAATTTGGTGGAATGAAGATTGGCAGGGGAAACCGAAGTACTCGGAGAAAACCCGCCCCAGCGCCACTTTGTCCACCACAAATCCCACTTGACCAGACCCGGGATCGAAACCGGGCCGTCACGGTAGGAAGATAGCGACTAACCGCTTGAGCTATGGCGCGGCCTTGAAATTACTGTTAGAGAAATAAGGCATAAATCTGACTAGACTGAACTGGTTCAGTGTATGATACCCGTTTTGTGAACATGATGATGAACATTATGGCTCCGTAAAAACTATGGAAGTTTATTGAACAATCGAATTACTGTTAAGTTCTCCAAGAAAATCATGTACCAGGGAGCTAGTTGATAACTCGGTTCTTTCTGTTAGATAAAAAACTCCTATTTATTATGTTGCAATAGGAACACGAGCATTGAACGAGAATGCAACGGAGGGCCCACAGAAAGGAGAACACTTCATGTGAGATCCAGTGTAATGCTGTATTTAAGCATCCTGTTGAGATCATGTATCTTATTGCACATATATACTTGCGTCTTAAAGGCAACTTATTACGTAGTCAGCCATCTTCCTCACTACATGTTTCGGGGGCACACGGACTTCATCAGGTGTTATCTTGCTAAAATTGTTATACTGTATGTTAAAGTTATGCATCGCGTTGGGCCGCGCCATAGCCCAAGCGGTTAGTCGCTGGCTTCCCACCGCGGCGGATCGGGTTCGATCCCGGGTCTGGTCAAGTGGGATTTGTGGTGGACAAAATGGCGCTGGGGAAGGTTTTCTCCGAGTACTTCGGTTTCCCTTGCCAATCTTCATTCCACCAATTGCTCCAAAATCACCCTCACCTATCATCTGGGGCTGGTACAATAGGCCAGAAGTGGCCGCAGTGCAAGTCCCACCCCACTAGCAATAAAAAAAATGCATCGCGTTTGAATGCGATGCTTCTTCAGTATAATACCTGCAATTAAAATTAGCATCTTAATGTTATTTTCATTATGGTCATCATCCATTAATTTAAAAGATATTTGCTTAAGAGTATTTCTCGTTGTTGGCTTTAGTCGCGACACCCTCTATCCACTAAAGTTGGCACTAACTTCGCCGACAAGCTGTATACTACAGCCTTTGTGAAAAAAGAACTTTTGGGGTGCATGGATTAGCGACGGGACTCGAAACTTTCCTTTAGAGGTCTCAGCACAACGACATGAAGCTGACCACACTCATCTACATCTAGCGCAGAAGTCAAGAATGGTGGAGCTATACCTCCACTCGCCCATACGTTTTTATGGCATAGTACTCAATTAAACACAGGAACCAACTTTACCTTTATGTTTTACCTACCACAGAACGGTTCTTCGTCCCTCGTTACAAGGAACAGCGTTCCCCTGCCGTTCGAACGGTCTGCATAGAAACCCATGTTGCCACACTTCCGGTCGTCATTACAGGGGAAGCATTCCCCTTCCAGAAACTTGTCATAAGATTCACAGGGGAATGAGGGGAAGTGGCAGCGTGGGGAGACAGAATCGGTGAAGAATTTGTACGCTCGTCTGTGATTACAAAGGCTCCGCCCCTCCACATCGGATGCAGCTGGAAATGAAAGAGGTCGTAAGGTCTGAACTACTTGACGATATGCGTAGTTATGCAGAGGATATAGTCTCTGTTAATCACAATAGAACCTCGTCTATTGATTCTTCTGACCTGTGAACCAGTATCCTTATTTCAACTCATTATTTAACGAGAACAGTAAACAGGTTAGTTGTCAGGAGGTTAGTCGCTGGATTCATTTGGGATTTGTGGTGGAGCAGATTTTTCTTCAGTTACTTCAGTTTCTTCTGCCAATTTTCATCCCAACAAATGCCCCAAACTCAGTTATCATACGGGGCTGGTACAATAGGCCCACGGATTGTCAGTACAACCCTCACCCCACTCCATGAATAAAAAGATAATCAGATTAGTTCAGCTTCAAACACAGGATTATCCTGAAGATACCAGATTCGAATCTTGGCGACAATATCGTCTATTCTGGCAAGGTTTTGGTAGTGACCCCCATGCAACTTTTACAGCTATGTTCTGAATTTATTAGGCAAAAAAAAAAAATAAAGGTATCCCTGCAACAGGCTGTGGAGGCCAGTACGGTTGTGGCAAAGTTGTCAGCCCTAAGCGCCGGCCGCCCTTTACCCCCAAGAACATTTCAAGTATAACTCCTGGTACTCATTTCTGTTAGAGGCTGAGTCGACCCCAGGGCCATAGTGCGGCTGGAAGGGGCTTTATTCCAGGCATGGCCAAGGTTTTTCTTTACTCCACAGCACCCAGACCGGCTCTGGGGCCCAGGCAAACTCCTAACAAATAGGCACGGGGGCTACTTCTCGGAAGTAAAGCGGCCGGGCTGTGCAACTGACCACTGAATTCCATCTAGATCCGAGGCCAAGAATGACGGAGTTATACCTCCATTCTTCCATACACCTTCATGGCATAGTGCTCTATTAATTAAGCAGAGGGACAGATTTGTCTTTTCATTACTAACTTTCTTGTAATTACACACAACGTTAATTTATACAGAGTGAACTTACATTAGATTTGAGAATCTCACAGCTGTGATCACGAAAGGTTTCTATCTTCTGGGATATAAAATAGTGAAGCCAAGTGTTTTTATCTCATTTTTTGTCTTCGACCCTGAACATAGAGGAGATATGTTCCTCCGAAACTTCTGTCGGCTTTCACCGCACCTACACAGCGTTCTATCCAAGAAGATAAAACTCTTCTGAGTACAGTTATGTTGGTACTTACACCAAAGAATATCAGTTACAGCACCAACAAAGAGGTTGGTACACCCTTTCTGCATTCGCCCTCCGTTCGGGTAGAAATCAACATGCCCCATTGGTTGCCACGAACCGAGACCTCCAAGGATTAGGTTCTCGCCGTTCGAATGAATTACGTCAACAAACATGGCGTCGGTTGAATCCAAACGAGCACGTGGATCTTGACTTTCAAATAAGGGTGCGGCAGGATCCAGTCCTGAAACAGAAATTTCACGTTGAACTAAATTCTGTCTTACAGCCCATAAATGGGCCGGTGTTACCCAAATACAAAGTAAATTACTGTACTGCGGTTTCAGATACGTTTGCTCTGTGCTCTTACAGTTCTTTACAATAAAGTCTTCTTAATTTCTTTTAATGACTGATATAGCAGTTACAACACTCCTAAGAACTAGCTACTAGTTTCGTTATTTGATATTTAATTGTTCCTGTGTTCGCTAGTTTGTTAGGTGCTTATTAAATTGATAGGTTGTTTAGTTTGTTTATTAGTTGAGTAGAGAATTTACTGGTTAATTAGTTGGTTCGTTATGTAGTGGTTAGTTGATTGTTTCGTTGGTTGGTTAGTAAGCCACTTACACAATTAATTATTATAGTTAAAATCTTCTGTTAATATAGACGTCGGTTTTTTAATGTGATGAAAATATTAAACAGTAAAAAGCAATAATAATAAAAAAACAGCAACAACAATGCCACCCAACGAAACACGTCTGTCTAATTTCCTCAGGGCCGCGAAATGTATATCGTATTCAAACTTCAACTTTAGTCTTTTGATTAAGGGTCTGGGGTTATTTATCTATACTACTATATCTATATTACATATACTATATCTATATCTATACTATAGTATCTGTATATCAACTGAAGTGTTTATTCAACTTCAAAAGAGTTGAGAACAATTTAATATGCTGAACTGTAGAACCGTGATAATGAGAAGTTCATATGCTAATACATATTATATTCTAGTATTCGTCTAGAAGAATTGTCGATCCAGTTTTGTGTAATAATTTATGCAAGCTTTATAGAGTGTAACCTGTTGTGTATATAATATTTGATTTGTATTTTTATTTATACGAGTATTATAACCGTCAACAAAACACAACGAGTGGTATGGAAATATCTTCAATGAAGATTTTACTTCTTTATTATAAATATACCTATGCTACATGTTTCGACTATAATTTGGTCATCATCATGTCTTAAATGAACATATCTCAAGTAATTAAACACACTGGGTAAAATACTGATCCGTATTATTATTATTTTTATTATTATTATTATTATTAATAGAGGGGGTGTGTTTCCCCATGTACTTAGACCAGTTATTGGTCCATTTTGTGTCCCCCTTTAATTTCTACTGTCCCCATACCCTACCGGTACTGGTGCCTACTATCAGCCCCGTTCAGCCAACGAGGTCGGCCGTCGGCACCTGATATTTCCCCCCTCTACCAGAGGCGTTGGAAACTACTTGGGCGGGAATACTGATCCCTATTACTTAGCAAATTGCTTTGTCGTAGAAAATATATCTTGGGAATATATTCACAATATTTGAAAGGGTAAAAAATGATAAAAAGAATACAATATTAAATTATATGTGATATAAATGACATAAAAATTTAAAGCTAGAAGTTGTGTTAGGTCGCGAAATTTAGATCTGTCGCAGCCACTGAATAGTTCGATATAATCTTGGAAAACAAATGTGTTTGTGTACATGTGCTACACTCTATCGTGGAAACGCTCTACTAAGAGGAATACTTAAGTACTATAAACAGTGGCTTAAGTTACTTACAGTGTCAGCACATGGAGAAAACACTACCTAATATTCACGGGAACGTAGTGCGTTAAGAACCTTGGGATGGAGGTAGTTCGGCCCTGCGAAACGTTGATAGCCACCTACCACAACTCGGAAGACATTACCATATTTACCTGTAATGCGACTGAGATTTTTGAGTTCTGCCCCAGCGAAACCAGCTACATGTGCGCCGAGACTGAACCCAATCACATGGACGTTGTGGAAAGGCAGCCCCAGATGCCCGTGCAGTCCCGCGAGTAACATGGACAGCTGTTTGCCCACGAGCCGCGTGTTGGCTGCAGCCCGAACATAGTTCGGAATCACAGCTCCCGCCTCCCAGTCAACACAGATCACGTTGCATTCTTCCTGCAAGGCACAAAGGCAAAGGTCTCTCGCCTTAATTAATTTAGCACAACGTCATGAAGGCTTATGGGGGAGTGGAGGCATAGATCCACCATGCTTGACCTTGGCACTAAGTTCAGGTGTGTGGTCAGCTACACTCCTGGTCTCTTTACACCCAGGGAAAGGACCCTGTTTTCCATTGGACAGGATGGGCCCCATAGCCGTTCTGGAAGCTATGGAAAAGAGAAATAATTCGCCCCTTTAGGATTAGATACATGTAGAGGCAACTTTCGCAATGAATGCGAAGAACAATTATTATAAATATTCCTCAAATGTTATCCACAATAGACTCTATCTTTTAACGACAAGTCAATTCTAAAGCGTCCTGAAGATGATGCATTACATTTTTTTTTTTTTTTTGCTTCTGTATTTTGTCATAGTTCCGGTAGAGCACAAAGTTTCGGAAACTGTTTTTGTTTCCCGAGGCCCTTACTCAACTGACTCTGTTAGTAGGGGCGAAGGAAACATCTCATGACGCGCAGACCAGCGCCGACTGTGCCTGAAGCTAGTTAGGAAAACTATGATTATTTCAAGTAAACATTCTCTCCTCTTCTCACTTCGAACGCGGTTCCTCAAGAATACGAGTCAGATTTCCTACCGCTGAACCAATCTGGACGGTTGCTGGCTTTTTGGTTTATTAATGGACGCATTTAGCTTTCAGTTGTTATCTGTTTACGGCTCTACATCCCCTTGTGCCGCTTTTCAGTTTCTCAATCAATACACAGTCGGTAGGACTCCTTGGACAGGGGATCAGCAACTGCAAGACCGCTACCTACACACAGAATAAACGCACACAGACATCCATGCCTCGAGTGGGATTCGAACCCACGATCCCAGTGTTCCAGCGGGCGAAGAAGCCTCATGTCTTAGATCCCGCGGCTACTGTGTTCGGATTTAGTTTTCTATACTTCATCACACTATAGAATGACTCTTGATTTAATAGTTGGAAGACGATGTAGCTTCCATAAATAAATTATCACAGTATCTGACTGGAGAGGCTATGAAAATCATGATTTTTATCGATTAATATAACAAACTTTCTTCCGAGAACTTAACCCAGTACCTCCCGGATTCGAAGCCACGGTTCCAATTAGGCTAACATGAGGCCGTGCCATAGTTCATGCGGTTAGCAGCCAGTTTCCCACCGCGGAGGCCTGGGTTCGAAGCCAGGTCAAGTTATGTGGTGGACAAAGTGGCACCGGGAAGGTTTTCTCCGACTACTTCGGTGTCCCCTGCCAATATCCATTTCACAAATACTTTATATGCATCTATCTTCCGGGGCTGCTACAATACGCCAATTAGTGGTCGACGTACCAAGTACCCCACCCCAAGAAACTTAAAAAAGGAAACGGGGAGGGTTCTCTTGGTAAGCGATATTCGGTACTCCCTCCTGCAGTGCTGACTTTCTGCTGTACACAGAACGCCCATCACCGCAAAAACCGTAACGGAGCAACTCGGTATAACTGGTGTCTTTGCGGGCAATCGAACCGCGAAGCGTTAGCCACTACACCGTGACGTTCATTGGACTGTGCCAGTCAAGAGAAGTGGGCCTAATGTGAATATTTGGCGACTGCAGAAGAATAGTGTACTCCATTTTGCTTCTTCTTCACACAAGTTCTCTTCCTTTCCTTGTCCTTGGACTTGATAGCATTGGGCAGACTAATTCAAGCACGTGCCTAATTAATTTAACGGCTCAGATATTAAACCAGGCGTATACAAACTTTCGGATAAACGCTCCAGTTGTTTTGTACACCTGCTTACCGGGTTACATTCATTTCATTCCAAACGAGAAAATTCCATTTAATCGGCAGAATAAAGTCACATCATATCCTCAATCGATTTCAAGGCGATGCAGGATTTTAGGTTATGACAACGGTGGTCATGAAGGTTTCTACCTGATTGCCGCTCGTTTTCACGCTGATTTATTGCTTGACTTATTCTTCCAGCCGAATATTGAGGAGACATGTTCCTCCGAAACGACGGTTGATTTTCGACGGACTACACGGCGTTATATACCAGAAGACAGAACTCTGCGATTTGAAGGAAATGTTGTATTGATAATACCTGAGGTGAACTGCGGCTGTGACAATCGGGTCTTCTAATGTATGACAGCACATTCTTTTATAGGTAGATACCAACTACTGGAGAAAACTGATGCTTCCATCTTCAGGGTAAATGAAAGCCGTAGGTTATTTCCAAAGTCTAGTAACTACTTGCGAAACTGCATGGTGTCATAACCCAGACCACCACAGTCTTAATTGGTTATTCTTGTTTGCAAAATTGTTGAGATATTAAAACGAAAGATTTAAACCCCAGGACTCCATCTTCAATGTCCTTACTTCGAAACTAGCCAAAATCCGAGTCTGAGATGAAGATACGATAATGTAGAAAGGATTATTAACGCCGTCCAGTGCGATCGATAAATGTCTTTTTTTCATTTTTTAATCTATTTACTAGTATTATTTTAAAACTTTGTTAAAATCTAGAACCAATTTGATTTGTGTCCTTTATATTAGTATTTTCTTTAATGCTAGTGGGGTGGGACTGAGTCCCTTGTACTGCTCCACTTCTGGCCTATTGTAGCAGCCCCAGATGATAGGTGAGGGTGATTGTGGAGCAATTGCTGGAATGAAGATTGGCAGGGGAAACCAAAGCACTAGGAGAAAAACTGCCCCAACGCCACTTTGTCCACCACAAATCCCATTTTACCAGACCCGGGATCGAACCCGGGCCGCCGCGGTGGGAAGCCAGCGATTAATCGCTTGAGCTATGGCGCGGTTTATACTAGTAAACAGATTAATTATAATAATTAATAATTTTTTTAATAAATTCATGCACATCGCTGTAATTGTTAAAGGTCAGTACAGTATTTTATATTCATGACGCTGTAATATTAGTGTACGCATGCACTGATAATGACCAATCACATTGTAATAGTAGTTCCCGCAAGTATTGATATGTCCTGAAGATGGTGACTCCGACCTAAACATGTAAAGGATGAGAGATTAAAAAAAGGAAAAAAAATATCAATCACACTGTACGGCGTTAATAATCCTTTATACTATTAATAGTGTGACGGACCAGGATGAACCAAGTCAGATGTGATACTGTCCTGCCTGATAAGGGCTACAGTAAAACTGAAGGGGCTCTGAGAGGTAGGTAAGGAGCGATGGCGGAATGATGGTTAGTGGGGAGTAGGCGAAAGAAGTAGGGAATAAAAACTTCTTCCAATGTCACTTAGACCAACAAGAGTTACATATGAATTCACTGAGAAGTGAACCCGGGTCTCCTTGATAAGTAGCCAGCTTCTAGCTGCCTAAACTAAGGTCCATCCAGTGTTATATTTTGTAAATGAGTAAGTTTCGCTTACAACAAGGTGGCAGTGTTTCGAGCAGGTTTAGGAAGCCAAAAGCAGGGGAAACTTGTAGTACGCACAACATAGCACAAAAACAGCTCCTAGCAAAGCAAATATAGCTATCTTTTGTTTCCATAGTATGTTTACAGAACTGTGTTATGTTCTGAGCTACAGTGGTTTATGTGTCTCCGTGTCGAATGATGAGGCCTGAAAACCGTTCTACTGATATTCACACATACTGTTGTAGCTCATAAACACACGTATATATAAATTATGGAGGTCCTCATTATGCAGTTTTCTCCAGCATCCTGTCACTTCATCCCTCTTCGGTCCAAATATTTTTCTCAACACCCTTACTCTATGTTCCTCCCTTAATGTCAGAGACCAAGTTTTACACCCATACAGAACCGTATTAAAACAAACACAAAATTATAAAAAGAAAAAATCAATTAAATATTAACAACAAAACATAAAATTATTTTTAAGAACGTATCCTACCTTAAACACCCTAAATCCATCAGCAAAATTATTCACTTTTTAGGCAAATATTCCGTCTGCTCCCATTTGGAAAAAAGATGGCTGCCCTTACTCTAATAAATCCTAGAAGTGGTCACTGTTTCAGGCTATGGTTAATCCCCTTACTGGCGGCGTTCACTTTTAAATTCCTTGCGTTGTTCAACACACCCATAACTGCATCCATGCAGGAAGTACATAGTAAACTAGTGGCAGGCCTTGCACTTGAATACTAATCAGTGATAATGAACCTTTAAAGGTCTCTTTCACCTTTTCATTAAGGCGAACACAGCGCCGCTACAAAGGCAGTGGAATAATTACTGCTGTCTGCTGGAGGACATGCAGACGTGAAGAAAGAGACAGTGAGTGACTGCGTGATTCTGTTACTGCTGGGAAGGCCCCTTTCTTTTATGCATGTGACCACTCCCAGCGGTAATTTCAGGCAATGCAGCCACCCTCATGCATGGATTTTGTTAATATGTCTTAACTGAGCGTGTGTACTGTAATTATAGTTTCTGAAACAAAGCATAGCATGGGTTGTGCAATTAGTCTTCCCTTATCAACATGACTTAAAGAAAAACGTTAAAGAGGTAAATGGTAAAATTAAATTTAATGTTGTGTTTAAGCACTACGCTATGATGACGTATTGGGGAGTGTGAGGATTGCTCCAGGTAATGAGACAGAAGCTCAGTGTTCACCAAGTAACTCCAAAGACAGGATTTCTATTTCAAACGGTAAAGCAGTTGCTCGGCAAGTCAAGAAATCCCCCTGTCTTCCTTACGAAAAATTAAGGTAATTAACCTGTTTACCAAAGATGTCACTGGTCGCTTTCTCGAACCAAATCCAGTCTGTACCTCCCACCCCCCTCATTTTCCACTTCAATATTATCCCCCAAAATTTAAGCCTCTTCCCGTAAAATTTCTCAACTAAAATTTTGTACATATGTGCATCTACCATCTTCCTTATGCGTGCTACGTGTTCCTGAAATCTCATTCTCCTTCGTTTGATAGTCCCAATAATGCCTGATGTAGAAAAGTTATATCAATCAGAACTACTGGGTTTTTGGAATTTGTTAATCGTCCGTTATTCTAAAGATCGAGAACCCCAAAAACCCAGTAATCCCAAATGCTATACATGATCGTCAGAATCCTTTAGAATCTCCAAGTTATAAAACCCCTCACTACATTAATTTTTCAGTTATTCTGTTATTTCCTACTAGGTCCATACATTAGGCTCTTCAATAGACATACACGTACTATCGTGGCACGAAGACTCCACCTATTCTTCCCTTGTCAGAGGACGCGTTTCATATTCGTAAACACAGGCATAATTACAATGAAATATACGGTATTAACTCGAATATAAGGCAAGATTTTTTTTTAAAATACCTCTTAGAAAAGAGGGCTGGCCTCATTTTTGAGTCATTGAGATTAAATTTTAAGATGATTATGAGGAGTTATAATTGTTAATTCTAATGATAATTGTGAAAATGTCTACATTTGCATTTAAGGCATTGAATTTTGAATGTATTGTAAACTGGTGTCGAGACCAAGAAAACGTGGGTCTATACCCCCACTCCCCCATACGTCTTCATGGCATAGTGCTTAATTAGTTAAACTCAGGGACAACTTAACCTTTACTGTTATTATCATCTTCCAGTTTCCACTCCCTTTCACTTATAACCAGGGCCAGGATTTTGATGACATGTCATCTTTTTTTCCTTGTATCCTCTGCGATGCTCTTAAACATATAAATCTCGGATATGAGCTGCTGGTTAAAGAAATGTAAATTTTATAGGTAATGTTTTCTCATTTTTTTGACATTTTTAGGTTTAAGGTCATTTTTTCATTTTGGGGGTAATTTTTTGGTAAATTTTTGGACTTTTAAGGGTATCTCTTGTCATTTTTGGCCATTTTAGGGAATTTTTCTTCATATGTTTTCTGAAACGTGAAAAACATGGAAGCGAAGTGTTCTTTCTTTTCTCCTTTAGGCCATTTTTCTGTTTCTTTTTCGGTCATTTTATAGGTAATTTTTTAATATTTTCAGGTCATCAAAATCCGGGCCCTGCATATTACATTTTTGGGTCATATTTTAGGTAATTTTTCTGGATTTTTCGGCCATTTTGTACGTCATTTTTTTAATATTTTCAGGTCATCAAAATCCGGGGGCTGCTTATAACCCTTAGAAGTAACTGGCATATTCAATTCTGTCACAGAGAACATTTTGTGATCTTCTCGTTGGAAAAATATGGGTCGACTTACATTCGGGCTTGCATAATATCTCCACTCTTAAGTTTTTATGCGGGGAAAAGGAAAATTTAAAATTTCATAGGACTGACTGTAATACACGTCTTTTTGTGGGAAAGCCCGAACGGAAGGGACCACATGAGTAGACCTAAATGCAGTGGGAGAATAATATTAAGATTCAACTTAGATAAATATGATGAGATGGTATGGACTGGATTCATCTGGCTCATGATAGGCACCAGTTGAGGGCTTTTGTGAATACGGTAATGAAACTTCGGGTTCAATAAAATGCAGGGAAATTCTTGAGTAGCTGAGGGACTGGCGATTTATCAAGAATGACTCAACTCCATGGAGTCAGTCAGTGCGTTACATCTTCCAAAACAATTCTTGATGCAAGTCCAAATGGCCAAATTGTCTTCTAGATCTATTGTAGTACTTGGTCAGCCAGTGGCTTGATAAATTAGAGAGAACTTCGTTATCTTGCAAGTATTCACTCATGGAACTGAGCCCTTCTTGAGAAGCCTCCAATTGTTCAGCTACTCAAGAACTTCCCAGAATTTTATGGAACCCGAAGGTTCATTACCGTGTTCACAAGAGCCCTCCGCTGGTCCCTAACCTAAACATGGTCAATCTAATCCATACCATCCCATTCTCACCCTCTAATATCCATTTTAATATTGTCCACACATCTACGTCTTGATCTTCCCACTGGTCTCTTTCCTTCTGGATTCCCCACCAGTATCCTATGTGCATACCTCTTCTCCCCAATTTGTGCTACATGCCCTGCAAACTTCATCCTCCTCGACTTGATCATTTTAATTATACATGGAGAAGAGTACAAGTTATGAAGCTCCTCATTATGCAGTTTTCTCCAACCTCCCGCTTCAAATCTCTTCGGTCCAAATATTCTTCTCCCTTAATGTCAGAGACCATGTTTTACACCCATACAGAACCACAGACAAAATTACAGTTTTGTATATTCTAATTTTTATGTTTTTGGGCAGCAGATGAGAGGACAAAAGGTTCAGGACCGAATGGTAGCAAGCATTACCCGAGTTGAATCTCCTCTTAATTTCCTCCTGAATCAGGTTTCGATCTGTTATCGTCGTTCCCAAATACCTGAACTGTGCCACATTTTCAAAACAACTGTTACCTATCGTCCAAATACTTCTTTCGTGAATTTCTCCTAGCCTTTCACCTTGAGCTATATTTCAAGGGCAATGAAAGTGTTTACTGACATCTCACAGCATAACTGATTGATGCCGCCCAAGGGCCCTTTCGCCCTCGGCCCCCTGTAGCATATATTCCTCTGTAAATATTTGAGACAGCCAGTGTTATCTAAAAGATAGGGCCCTTCCTCACGTTGAACTAACACTTAAAAAAATGTTCAAATATTAAGTTGAATAAAACATGCTTGTAATTTCCTCTATTACACGAGATAGCGCTATATAGGTGAACTGATGTGTAGATTCATATTTTCTTGACCTCGGTGCTAGCTGGAGGGGAGTGGTGAGCTTCACGCCCCTGCCGTTTTATCCCCAGGGAAAGGTCCCCCGGAACCGGTTCAATAGGAGGCTGGGTGAGCCCCAGTGCCGGTCTGGACGATATGGAGAAGAGAAGATTCTGATCTTCCTGGGACTGGAACTCAGACCCCTCGATCGTCCAGCCCGTAGGCAGTCGCTATACCGACTGCGCTACCCCGGCTTAACTTTTCAGGGTAAAAAGACCTGAAAATGGGAATATATATTTCTTCCGAAGCATTTTTACGTATCTAAGGAGCTAAAGGACGTCATATCTCAGAAGACGGCAATTTTAATTCCCCCATCCTGAGAGTCGGTAGTCATAAAGTCACAGTTCCGCAACGTCGGCGTGTTTGTAGATTCAGAGGACAGTTCTGCATAAAAAAATTACGTTTCTGAGGCATCTCTCTTCTAAATTTCACATTCATTATACACAAGACTCGGAACTACAAGTAATTACAGCGCAATTGCACGATTTCCACACTTTACAAATCACTGCACGCTAAGTCTTCACTAATCGTTGCTTGGTAAGAGCTCTCAACAATTCAGATTCTTCAGCTTCTGTTCTTACGTCGTTACTGTCCGGCGAATATTCCACAACTGAACTGTCATTTGAACTATAGCGCCATATCCTCTCAGCCTCCCTTGCAGAGCTCAACTCTCAACTAACTGGGTCGCCTCACCTGCACTTCTTAGAACCCCTTTTTGCACGGACCGAGCAGAAAACACACTTTCCAACAATAATTTATTGTTCCGTGCGTATTCGTAGCAGTGGGAATGAGTTTACTTAACCGTTACCTAGATCACCGTTGATTATTTGCCTATCTCGCGGTCACTGCATAGTAACGGCTGTACACGCTATAATATACAGGGTTAGCCTAAAAGAAATAGACAGTTTTAATGACTCGTATTCATGAAACACACGCGCAGCCTAATAAAGTCGACAACACGTGCAAGTTTAGAACTTCAAGAACATAAAGGATAGAGTTTACGTTCCTCCCTCCCCACAAATGTGGACGATCTTAAACAACGCATCACAGTAGCTGCTGCTGAGAAGCGTTTGGGGACAACTAGACTATTGCATTGATATTTGTCGTGTTACAAAAGGGTCACATATAGAACACTTGTAACTTACCCATGTAAATTTCAGGGCGTACTTTTCAAACCATGTAAGTATCTCGGCCATGCTATTAAAATTCTTCTTTCTGTAAAACTTTGAAAGTGTCTGTTTCTTTTAGGCTAACCCTGTATTTTAATAAAAATCTATCCATTGGTTCAAAAGTCACTGGCAGGAGCAAACACACGGACGCGACAATACAGACTGATGGACATACATGCACACACAGACATGAATATGACAACGCCATTTTGTTAAGCCATATCGCGCCGAATAGTAGGATGACAGACTAATGAAGAATTGGATGGGATTTGGAAGGAAGCCACCATGAGCTAATCCAGGCATTATAACTACATTTTCCTGGAGGGACTGAGGAAAACAACTGAAGCATCTCAGTCGGGATAGTTTCTATATATTGGCATAGATTCGAACCGAGCACCTCCGAAATACAAGCTCACACCACCCCGCTTCAAGAAAGTATGCTTAAAAATAATAAGTTTTACACAGCAGACATTTCAGTGGAGTAGGTACGCAACGGCCACTCACCACTGTCATCAGGGCAGACCTCATCTCGTAAACCCAGACATTATTGCAGGAGCCACCAAAGCCGTGAACTATGACCTTGGTTGGCGCGGACAAGTTGAAGGCCTTACCGGCCCAAGGCCAAACGGCTGTCAGGTTAGTGAAGGGGACGTCCATGACAGGTGAGTTCCCGCGGGCGCGGCCCGAGTACAAGAAGAACCTTGTCGAAACCTCCTCGGGGGGAGACGGGAGCATATCCAGGTACCCAAAGGGCCCCGAGTCCTGGAAACAGCCCACTTCTGGGTAACACACAGACGATTCGGCGCGTTTCCTCCTGAAACAGTTATCAACATAGTCAAGTTCATGTCAAAAGTAAAACTGAACTGAGCGCCATGAAGACGCATGGGCGAGTTGAGGTACAGCTCCATGCATTCTTAACCTGGGCACTAGATGGAGGTAAGTGGTCCGCTTCACGCTCCGGACGCTCTACCTCGGAGAAGGAATCCCCGTAGACATTCGACAAAACGAAGAATTGGACACGGAGTCTGTTTGGAAGCAGTGCCCCCTTTGGGAAACGAACACTGGTACTCTAGTCGTCCAATCCGTAGCCTTGCCTCTATACCTACCCACTTATCTGGCTCCTGATAGCTTGTAACTCTGCTTAATTAAGCACCACACAACGAAGACTTATGAGGGAAATAAGGTAAGACTCCACGCGTTGATAATTTTCATTTCATGCTTCCTGTTGTGTTATAATATACAATTTATTTATTAAAACCGTCACAACACAACTATATTAAGGTCAGTGCCTAGTTTGCTTCTGCTACATGTTTCGGCTATTAAAAGCCATCATCAAGCAAATACATAGCCATGATATATAGCCATGATTCGTTGTTTACATTCCCTACAGAACGGACAATACTTTGTAAGATGAGGCACTGATTAAATAATTAACATTAATATTACTACATCTACATCACGAGCCATCAAAACAATTTATTATATATACACAAAATATAGAATACTCCAATTTGTCCGTGGGAACACAACAAAATCACAAAAGCCAACGACTGACTCGATGATGTAAAGAATCAATCGAAGACTTTTATTCTTGTTTTATACTATAACTTTTGTTTTATATAATCTAATCTATTGTATTTTTACGTTAAATATTTTAATATAATTAATATTATTGTATCCAATTTTACTAGTACTGCAGTTCAGTGGTGTAGATATATATATATATATGTTGGCCATGTATTAGCCTGATGATGCTTTTANATCAAAACAATTTATTATATATACACAAAATATAGAATACTCCAATTTGTCCGTGGGAACACAACAAAATCACAAAAGCCAACGACTGACTCGATGATGTAAAGAATCAATCGAAGACTTTTATTCTTGTTTTATACTATAACTTTTGTTTTATATAATCTAATCTATTGTATTTTTACGTTAAATATTTTAATATAATTAATATTATTGTATCCAATTTTACTAGTACTGCAGTTCAGTGGTGTAGATATATATATATATATGTTGGCCATGTATTAGCCTGATGATGCTTTTAATAGCCGAAACACGTAGCAGAAGCAAACTAGGCACTGACCTTAATATAGTTGTGTTGTGACGGTTTTAATANGAATCAATCGAAGACTTTTATTCTTGTTTTATACTATAACTTTTGTTTTATATAATCTAATCTATTGTATTTTTACGTTAAATATTTTAATATAATTAATATTATTGTATCCAATTTTACTAGTACTGCAGTTCAGTGGTGTAGATATATATATATATATGTTGGCCATGTATTAGCCTGATGATGCTTTTAATAGCCGAAACACGTAGCAGAAGCAAACTAGGCACTGACCTTAATATAGTTGTGTTGTGACGGTTTTAATAAAGAAATTGTACTCCACGCGTTGTTAACCGCGGAGCTACATGGAGGTGATTCATTTTGTCCAGTGGAAAGAGCCTCAGTATAGGAGGCCCTATAAAATGGCTGCTTCCATAACATTTCCCTGTCCGGTATTCCTACTGGGCCGGACGAGACACCTATCCACACGCATTCTCCCGCTGAGTTCGTTGAACCAAAATTTCTAAGTACGTTTTGAGTTTCTCACTGCCCTGACTTCTATAAGTTCTATCTTCTGGAATATGACGCCGTGTAGTCCGGTGGAATTCCACCTACTTTTCAGGGGTACATATTACCACCATTTTCAGAATCGAAGAATACGCGAAAACAGAAACCTGCATGTAGTAGGCAGTAAGCCTGGAGGCGGTATGTTCCTCCGAAACGTCGGTTGACTTTCATGGCGTTATATCCCAGAAGATGAGACTTCATACTTACCGCTGTGAGAATCTAAACTCCAGTTTGGAGTTAATTTGTTTAGTAGATGTGCTGAATATCAGTTCTAGAAAGCAAAACCCAACATCGTGACGTTTGCATTACTGTTCGTGTTATGTACGTAAATATTCTGCACTAATAAGGAGGAACTTACCTATGAGAAACGTGTCGTTTATGCCATTCTTGCATTGAGGTCACCACGGCCTTCAATATCTCGGCATCTCGCACTTCATCCAAGGCCTCCTGATCAGGAGTGGCCCAGGGAGTTCCCCCTGCAGACGCGCGCTCTGCAAAGCAAACACCGCACTCTACAGCTGGTCACACACATTAACATTCCACTCGGAGCCACGTCAGAAAAAGGGCCTTGAACCTACTTTATTTTTAAAATAGTTCAGAAATGTCAAAGCACAATGTTTTTATAGAGCCGTGATAGAGATTGGCTGCAGGCTGGAGGGCCTAGTGGTCAAGTTCGAATCCCGGAAGAGACGAGATTTTTCACTTCTCCACGTCGTCCAGACCGGCTCTGGGGCCCACCCGGCATCCTACCCAACGTGTACTAAGGGGATCTTTCACCCGGGGGTAAAGCGACTGGGCCGTGGAGCTGACCACTAACTTTCAAATAGTGTCGAGGTCAAGAATATATTTTCATGGCATATTGCTTAATTAATTAAGCACAGGGACAACCGTACTTTTTTTACAGTTTTTATACAGTTACAAAAGACAATGCATTGTTAAATTACGTTTTACAAAGGTGTAATCACTATCAAAGCAAAACAAAGTTGTAAAATAGGGATCCATTATAAGTAACTCAATTCAAGAACTTAGTCTGATATTCTTATGACTCGTCTGATGATGACCTAGGAAAGGTCGAAACATGTGGCGTAACACCTGTGCACAATAAGCAAATGTTTTATTACGTTAGTACCTATTTTTGTCTTCAAACTGTATATACCATTTTTGTGTAGTTGGCCCCATGTTACGCTATTCTACACACAAGACAGGATGTGTACAATAAAGATTATTCATATTTTGATCTGAATGTTAATAGGTACAGGGGCACTTTTGGGCACCAAGCTACTGCACTATCCAATAGTCCACTGTCTATTTAACTAATTTACACCTACTGGCTACTCTCCATGTCTGGAGGCAGTTTCTTCCACCTGTAACTTAAGAATATACCCTGCAGAGATGAAAATGGGCCCACTCAACTTGGCGTCTTCTTTACTTCTTCAGTTATGTGTGTGCTACTTTTCTGGTTACGCAATGACATTTCAGTCTTCTTATGTTTGTGTATCTGAAATATGATTGCACTGAAGTAATAGTGCCCTGTGCCTACTATGCGTAATGCTATCTCTATAGCTTAAATAGCTAACCACATAAGGAAACCTGTTGGCAAATTATGTTAACTTTACACTGCAGCTACTCAGTGGCTTAGAAGGATAACCAGTCTGAGGAGTAAACATACAAACTTCTGCGAAATATGTTCGGCAAATAATTACAACTATTTTACTGAATGTCCCTGCTGCCCTTCTATTCAACAAGTTAGAGACGTCCTCAATCCATGAATATTTCTTGTTCTAAATAACGAAGCAATCTTATTCATTCCAGATATAAATACAGATGGCCGTCAGCCTATTTATTTCTGTTGGATTCGTTTTGTGTGTCTCGAAAGATGAAGCTTTCACCAACAGAAGGGACCGGAGAATTCGTGTAATGATTCAGCCACAAGTTGCAACTGCAGTTTTAATGCCGTTATTATTTAGAAGCTTTCGCCCTAAGGGAAACTTGTCTGAGAGCAGGGCGCTGAGTAGAAAATTTTGATCTGGAAGGGGGAAAGTGACGGATGTTACAAGAAACCTACATATTGAGAGGCTTCACAATTTGAGCTATTCACCAAATATTATTACTGGGGCCACGCCATAGCTCAAGCGGTTAGTCGCTGGCTTCCCACAGCGGCGGCCAGGGTTCGATCCCAGTTCTGGTCAAGTGGGATTTGTCGTGGACAAAGTGGCGCTGGGGCAGGTTTTCTCCGAGTACTTCGGTTTCCCCTGCCAATCTTCATTCCACCAATTGCTCCACAAGCACCCTCACCTATCATCTGGGGCTGGTAGAATAGGCCAGAAGTGGCCGCAGTACAAGGGACTTAGTCCCACCCCACTAGCAATAAAGAAAACGTTATTACGGCCTTCGTATTAGGGAGAATGACATAGAAAGGACATGTAATAAGCCTGTAGGATACATTAAACAAATACAGAATATTAGGCGGAAACCTAAGGAAAGAAAATACGAGTTTGGAGCTATATGTGTTGATGGTAGGATAATATTAAAACGCATCTTGAGAAATAGGATGTGAGGATTGGACTCGGATGGCTCTGGGTGGGATCCAATGGTCATATTTTCTTGTCACGGTAATAACACTCTGGGTTCTATAAACGACGAATAATTTCTTAATTGGTTCCATTGCGTTTGTTAGTCCGTCAGGCAGTGAATCAGCTATTTAGTTGACAGCTCGCATTAAATATTCTATGATACAGCTTTCCGGGGCACGCGGTAGCGTAGTTGGTTGAGGGGCTGTGCTACAAGCCGGAACGTCGCGGGTTCAAGTCCCGATGAAGTCACTGGAGTTGACTCAACCTTTAACAGAAATGAGTACCAGGAATTAATTAAATAATTTTCCTGGGAGTAAAGCGCGGCCGACGCGTAAGGCTGACAACCTTACCGCCATCTTTGAGCCGGTTGTCTAGACAATGTGGGACCCTCAACGTCTCACAACCCTATGGGCCTTCACGGCCTGTTACAGGGATAGCTTTACTTTTACTTTATGATACAGCTTTCCACATGAAGGATTACTTCCAACAAGAATGTGGGAAGAGCATTGAGGTACCTGAATGTAGACGAATAGGTAATATCAATATTTATCAAGAGAAAAACGTTGTGAAATTTTAAGCTGGATTTGACAGTGAAGAAAGCAGTCTTCTGGGATGTAGCACCGTGTAGATGTGGTGTTAACCGACGTTTCGGAGTAAAGTATCGCCTCCATCTTAAACGGCCTCCGTAGTCTAGGGGTAACGTTCCCACCTCATGACTCAAGGTACGCGGGTCCAAACCCGGCGGAGGTCGTGGAATTTTTAAGGGCGGAAAAATTCAGGGAACAAGTCCTCCGGGTGGGACTTTAAGCTGTGTGTCCCGTGTCGTAGATTTACGGCACGTAAAAGAACCTCATGTCTTTAGGAGACCTCTGAGCTAAATTACAGGCCCTTTCCCGCCCAAGTAGTCTCCAATGCCTCTGGTGGATGGGGGAAGCATCAAGGTACAGGGGGCCGACCTCGTTGGCTTTACGGGGGCTGATGGCACGCACCGTTACCGGTAGGGTATGGCGACAGTAGAAATTAAAAAAGGGGGACGCACAATGGACCAATAACTGGTCTAAGTGCATGGGGAAACCCACCCCCTCTCATAATACATACATGCATACATCGCCTCCTTCTTCAGGGTAGAAGGAAAAATAAGAAAGCCTGCAAGCGAAGAGACCGTGAGAACCCGTACAAGCAGACTTATTTTTCCTTCTATCCAGAAGATGGAGGCGATGCGTTCCTCCGAAACGTCAGCTAACACCACATCTACACGGTGCCACATCCAAGAAGACTGCTTTCTTCATAGTCACCACCGTGAAAACCTCAAATCTTACATGGATTTGACAGGTTCGCGATGGAGTTTAATTCTGAAAGCTGTAATGAAGCGTAGAGAGTTTCTTGACCGGCTGAGTAACTGTCGCCTTTTCTAGTAAGACTCTATATCGTGAAGTTAGCCTACTTAGCGTCAGTAATAGAGGGCAGCACGACAACAAAAATAAAGAGTGTGAAGCAGTCCAAATTAAAACGGCTATAATTCTTGATCTGGGCTTCTAACTGTGTCAGCTAGAAATGTTTCTCACATTTTCCAGCAGTGATATCGCGTTCTTGAAAGCCACTTGTCTCTGTGTACACCCAGTGTAAGCCATATTTTGGTGTCATTAATGAATGATAATATTGTATGCGACAAGTTAAGAAAGTGCTTTTCGAAGTGAAGGTACGGGATTATGAAGAAAGTGGTTGTTGAATAGATCCAGCTATCATGAGAAGCTGAGTCGAGTTTCTGTTCGATTGCCTTACGGTATACTTACTTATTCATGGAGCTGAGCCCTTCTGGAGGAGCCGCCAATTCTGCAGCTACTCAAGAATTTCCCAGCATTTTATGGAACCCGAACGTTCATTACCGTGTTCACAAGAGCCCTCCACTGGTTCCTACCCCGAGTCAGATCAATCCAATCCATACCATCCCATCCCAAGATCCATCTTAATATTGTCCACCCACCTACGCCTGGGTCTTCCCAATGGTCTCTTTCCTTCTGACTTTCCCACTAATATCCTATACGCATTCCTAGTCTCCCCCATTCGTGTTACATACCCTGTCAATCTCATCCTCCTTGACTTGATCATTCTAATTATACTTGGAGAAGAGTACAGTTTATGAAGCTCCTCACTGTGGCCTTACGGTATACTGAAGATATATTTCACGGTCGCATAGACAGAAATTTAATCAGCAAACAAAAGGTGAGGGATATTCTTGTTGGTGAATATCTCAACACAATATTCCCCCCCCCCTTGTAACTGAGTCAACTGACGAGGTTTGGTGGGCTCCTAGGTTGGGTTCTGAAGAACCAGAAATAACAAAAACAGCGAATTTTGTAAATCACCGGATGTTGTATCGGATATCAAAAGAAAGTTGGAGAGACTGGGGCATATGCTCAGAGTAGATCAAATAAAATCCTTAAAAAATTCTTAAAGCTAGACGAGAAGGATAATAAAAGTGGGTAGACTCAGACTGTCAAGGTTCGGCCACGCAGAGCGCTACGCTATGTTCGCTACGTACGCTACGTACACTCTGCGACGCAGCTAACATAGGGAACATAGCGTACGTAGCGTAAGGAGGTCTGTGTGGCCAGTCACATTGGCAATAAAGGGAGATATTTTTCTGTTCGTATAGCTAACATAGCGTACGTAGCGCTCTGTGTGGCCGAAACTTTATGGGGTGAATATTAAGAGAATGATTTACGGGAGCTGGAAGTGAGAGAGACGTGAGATAGAAGGCAAATAATACACAAGAGTGGGCGTGTGTCATAAGGAGGTCAAGGTTCTCAGAGGAAAGCAGAGAAAAAAAGGCGTACGTAAGCTAAGTTGTAGAACTGACAACTCCTGACTTAATATTTCTGTGTTTTATTCAGTCACTGCAGACAATAATCAGAACA